CCTGGGGAGTCCAAACAATGCATCTAGGTGAATGCAGAGTACCCTGAGGTAAACTTTTTAATGCAGTTTAAACCCGGGTTAAAAAAAAAAAAGCCTGCAAAGAACTGGAGGATAGGGTAGTCCTGCTCATGCCCAGCCATGCCGATCTGGTGTTGGCATGACTAGATTATATGGCCACCCAGTCCCGCCATTGAGATAGATGTTTCCTCCCATGTGAGGTCCCAAACTGAGGAATGAACCACCATTTTTAATGAAGTTTTGGCCAGTGTAGGAGTACCCTGAGAAGTAGAGGCAAGTTCTGTGACTATGAAACGGATAGAATATCTCATAAAAAATGTACTGATGGATAAAAAATATTTTGTTTGTTTGTTTGCAGAAAGGATCTGTGTCATATAGGATGCTCCACAACAAACCTGTGACATGTATAATATATAGGCCTTTGGTTCTCCAGGTGTTTTGGACTTTAGCTCCCACAATTCCTAACAGCTGATAAGCTGACTGGGATTTCTGGGTGTTAAAATCCAAAACAAATGAAGGAAAGGTTGAAAACCACTGATCTAGACAATGAAGGAAAAAATATTATCCCCCTCTGATTCCCTTCCTACTTTTGTATTCTATTATCATTGACAAAAAAATATAATTCAACCAAGGCTATGGTTGAATAGTTATGGTGCCTCTGGGATATTCCAGAGTGTGCTGGTTCACAGGGGTGGGTGAAGGGCACAGAAATTGTCCCCACAACTGTCATATTTCCTTCTCCAAATAGCTACCCTTTTTGTCATGTTGTTCTCCATTCATTCAGTCGCTTCCGACTCTTTCTCACCTCATGGACCAGCCCACGCCAGAGCTCCCTATCGGCTGTCACCACCCCCAGCTCCTTCAAGGCCAAGCCGGTCACTTCAAGGATGTCATCCATCCATCTTGCCCTTGGTCGGCCTCTCTTCTTTTTTCCTTCCATTTTCCCAGAATAAATGTCTTCTCTAAGCTTTCCTGTCTTCTCACAAAAGAGCAAGTTGAATAACACTTTCTGTCATGGTATTATTCAATTTGCTCTTTTGTAGCCATTTCCTTTTTTCACAGTCCAAGTTTTCAAACTCTGCATTTAGAAAATAGAAACACTAGGGGTGAACTGCTTGGGTAGATCATATCTAAAATAGAAAATTGTATGTGTTGCACTTATTGTTTTCAGTGCAGTATCACAACACAGCTGGAAATGCCAGATAATGCATCAGTTAGAAATTATCTTTATACTCTGATGTACATCAAAGATACTTATAACAGCCAAGTGATCCTGACAGTTAAACTAAAAAGCTGTAATTTATCATCACAGCATCCTTCTTTGAAGCATACGGAAAAGATGTCTGGAGCAACTTTAATCAAATTTAATCTGCATCTACAAATTTGACATAACTGTTCTGGAGAAGTGTTTCTCAGCTCATTTGGCAAGCCTCTGTGAGGAAGATGCTTTAGGCCAGCAGTTTGTGGGTGGGTGGTTAGGGCAGGCTGGAACTTCTAAAAGACCAGAGTCATTGTCAAGCTTCCTGGAGGATCTACAGTAATTTCCCTTTCTCTTTGAACTGGCTTAATGGGTTGAAGTGATACTTCTGCTCCAAGTCCAGCCATACATCATGTGACTTCCCATAGCAATTCAAAGGTGAGTCCACTTTGTTTGGCCCTTGTACAGTGAGTTCCTTGAAGCTGGTGGGGTTTTAGGAGGGGTGCCAGCAAAGATCATCCACAGAATTTGCAGTACCAGATTTATTCTGCTCTAAAGATAAGTTTATATGACCGTAGCCTTGTGAATTCTCAGTTTGGTGAACTGGCTGGGGAAACTCTTAAGAAAGGAACTGTTCTTACTTTCATTTCAGAAAAAAGGGGGAGATTTTGAGAATTAAGGAGAAGTGCTCCTATTGTCTGGAATATAATTAAGCTCTTGAGATTGAAAGGTACAAGTCCTTTAGCAGAAATTCTGAAATCAAAAATACCCTAAAATCTGAAATGTCTTCCTTTAGCAGAAATTCTGAAATCAAAAATACCCTAAAATCTGAAATTGTCCACATGAGTGGCTAAGAAAGTGACACCTTTGACTTCTTTTTTTTATATATAAATTTTTATTAAACAGTTTAAAACATATATACATGGAAAGAGGGAGAATATTCAAGGAGAAGATAGAAAAGTAGGAAATACAGTCAATTAAAGAAAAAAGCGAAAAGGAAAAAAATCTAACAGGAATATTTTTTAAAAAAAATTCAAAAAATACAAAAAAAATCAAAAATACAAAAAACACCAAATAAGAAAATCAAAAAATAAAAATAGAGTAAAAAGACTTCTATTCCAATCTCAGGATCTTGTCGTCTTTTGTTTCATTATTATTGACTTCTTCTTTGTTTCTCTCTCTTTTCTATTCTTTTCATAGTCATAAAAGAGAGTCCAATCTGTCTTTTTTATAGATTTCCCGGTATTTTTCTTTAACAAAAAAGTTAACTCATCCACGTCTCTTATTTCTTTTACCTTATCCACCCACTCGTCCACCGTGGGAATTTGTTCTTTTTTCCAGAACTTTGCAAAAATAATTCTGGCCGCTGTTGTCACATAAGTCAGTAGCTTATCTTCATTTTCATCCAATTGTAGTTCCGAGTCAGTAAAACCCAACAAATAGTATTCTGATTTTTTCTTAAACTTTTTGTTTAATTTTTTTTGTGTTTCGACACCTATGACTTCTGATGTGCACAAACTTTGTTTCATGCACAGAATTATACACAACAATTATATTGATACAGAGAATATGAAAATCAACAGTAAAAAGCAACTAATAATAGTGATAAAGGAAGCATTGCAAAACAGCTCTGGTATATTGATCCGATGAGGGGAAAAAAATCAAATAACCATGTATTTGAGAATATTACATGAGCTTCTCAGATGCGTGCTGCATCCTCTAGTATTATAATTTACATAATTTACACGTGCCTTAACAGCAGATGAAATTGTCTTCAAAAAAGAATGTCTTCCTTATTGTCAATTGGAGTGACAACAAAAATTCCTCGAACGGTTTTGTGTTTGAGGGTAGCAATACTGTAATGTCCATTTCAGTAAGCCATGTTGAGAAAGAGATTTATAAATGAGTTTTCAAGGATTCGCTGAAATAATTGAAGTCTTCCTCTGGTTGAAGTCTAGGGAAATACACTTCCAATCTTCTCCCAAATGAATGGTTCTAGGATTTAGAAGTCAGAACTCAAAATATTCTTGGAGAGTAAAAATGGGGGTCATGTTTGAAACAAACAGTGATTTGCAAAAGAAGTAATGGGGAAAATCCAAATCCTAGAAAAATAGAGAAAGTAATGTATTGTCGAAGGCTTTCATGCCTGGAATCAATAGGTTCTTGTAGGTTTTTTCGGGCTATAGGGCCATGTTCTAGAGGCATTTCTCCTGACGTTTCGCCTGCATCTATGGCAAGCATCCTCAGAGGTAGTGAGGTCTGTTGGAAATAGGAAAATGGGTTTATATATCTGTGGAATGACCAGGGTGGGGCCAAGAGCTCTTCTCTGCTTGAGCTAGGTGTGAATGTTTCAACTGACCACCTTCATTTGCATTTGAAGGCTTGGCTGAACCTGGGAAAATCTTTTGTTGAGAGGTGTTAAGCTGTGCTTGGTTAAGTTGCGGTCAGTGGTTCCCTTGATGTATAGCAGGAACACTTTTCCCCTGGGTGGATCTTCATCTTTACTCTCGTGGCTTGTTCTGGGCCTTGCAGCTCTTCTGATGTCTGAGGTGGAGTATCCATTGGCCTGGAGAGCCCAGTTGAGGTGGTTCAGTTCATCTTGGAGGAGGTGGGGTTCGCAGATTCTTTTTGCACAGTCTGCCAAGGCTTTAATGGTGCTTCTTTTTTGACTTGGGTGAACCCACACACACAGATATCTACATAAAAACTCCAACCATCACCCAAATCAAAAAAGGGGAAAAGTGTTCCTGCTATACATCAAGGGAACCACTGACCGCATAGGGAAGCTGATGAGGAAACACAACATACAAACCACCTACAGACCCACCAAGAAAATCCAACAAATGCTACGTTCAGCAAAGGACAAGAGGGATCCTCTCACTTCTGCAGGAGTCTACCGTATACCATGCAGCTGTGGACAAGTCTACATTGTGACCACCAAACGCAGCACCCAAACACGAATCAAGCAACATGAAAGGCACTGCAGACTACTTCAACCAGAGAAATCAGCCATAGCAGAGCACCTGATGAACCAACCTGGACACAGCATATTTTTTGAGAACACAGAAATGCTGGACCACTCCAACAACCACCATGTCAGACTACACAGAGAAGCCATTGAAATCCACAAGCATGTGGACAATTTCAACAGAAAGGAGGAGACCATGAAAATGAACAAAATCTGGCTACCAGTATTAAAAAACTCTAAAATTAAAACAGAAAAACAGCAGAGAGGAAACAACCAAGCACAGCTTAACACCTCTCAACAAAAGATTTTCCCAGGCTCAGCCAAGCCTTCAAATGCAAATGAAGGTGGTCAGTTGAAACATTCACACCTAGCTCAAGCAGAGAAGAGCTCTTGGCCCCACCCCAGTCATTCCACAGATATATAAACCCTTTGTCCTAGTTCCAACAGACCTCACTACCTCTGAGGATGCTTGCCAGGGATGCAGGCGAAACGTCAGGAGAAATGCCTCTAGAACATGGCCATAAAGCCCGAAAAAACCCAGAAGAACCTATTGATTCCAGGCATGAAAGCCTTCGACAATACATAGTTCATTATTTTGCTGAGGGGCTAGAAAGCAATTCTTCCTCTGTCTCTTTTCTTTTAGGCAAATCTACTCCAAAACAAACCCCAACTATGATTTACCTAAATATGAATATAAGAGAAGAGAGAGACTCCAGATTGTAGGTTGATAGTTCATTATTCTGCTGCAGAACTGGAAAATAATTTTCCTTTGTTTCTTCCTTTGCAGGAGTGTGTACACCAGAATAAAACTTCAAAATGACAACATTCAACAAGTCACTGCTCTCTTCTGTGAATACTTCCTTGGAATATAATGCAACCAAGAATATAATGCATTATAATGAGTCACAAAATGAAAATATATTCCCTGACAACTGGGTGTATCTCGAAAACATCATCAGTCTTCTCATCTGCCTTCCTGGACTTGTAGGGAATACAATTGTCATTTGGCTTCTTGGCTTCCGTATTAAAAGGACTCCCTTCACCACATACATTTTGAACCTTGCCATTGCAGATTTTGCTCTGCTCAACAATGAAATTATAAAAGATATTTTTTGTCTTTTAAGTTGGATTAATCTTAACTTTTTTCCTGTTTACTTCAGTTTTTTCTACTATGACGTATTTCTGTTTACATTCACTGCTAGTCAGTACCTCATGACAATCATCAGCATTGACAGATGTGTGTGCCTCTTCTTCCCACTTTGGCATCGATGTCACCGGCCACCACGTTTATCCACTGCTGTGAGTGTCCTTGTATGGATCCTCAGCTTCTTAATTAGTGCTATAGATCTCACTCTCCTTTTCACTATATATAATACCATAACACACTTACAGTTTGTCTCAAATGCTGTGGTTTGCATGCCCATCATGTGTGTCTCCACTATAGCCATTTTTATTAAATTCAGATTAAGACCAGCACAAAAGAAGAAGGGAAAACTGTTAAAAACCATTTGGCTTACACTTTTCTTCTTCCTCCTTTGGACTTTTCCATTAAATATAATTGAGGTCCTTTCTCTATTTCATCATCCAACTAACTATATGTATGCATATGGCTACCTATGTGCCTTGATAAACAGTGCCATTAACCCCATGATCTATTATTTGGTGGGAAGAGATAAAAGAAGGAGATCAAGCAAGCGAATCAAGAAAGTGCTTGAGAAACTTTTCAAGGAAGAGGAAGACTGTTGAGAGAATCAGGAAATGTGATCCCAAACACTTGTAAGGACCCTTTAATAAGGTAGTTAGTCATTTGTAAATGTATTAAAAAATGCATTCTAGATTTAGTAATGTTTAGAAAGTTTTATTTCCTTAGAAAAGCCAATGAGATATATACACCTGTTTCCAAAGTATGCAAATATTACTTCTTAATATTGCAATGCTCAGTCTCATCTAGATTTCAATGTTTAAAGCAGCTGTTATTAATGCAAGGAAGTAAGAGAAATAGTTAAGGCCTTGGCTAGCACAGTGGGTTAAACTTGCTACTGGAATTCTTATCAATCGGAAGGTCAGCAGTTCGAGCCGCAGGTCGGGGTGAGCTCCCACCATCAGCCCTAGCTTCTGCATACCTAGCTGTTAAAAAAACAGCAATGTAAGTAGATAACTAGGTACTGCTTCGGTGGGGAGGTAAAAGGCAACCATGAAAAACATGTTAGCTAGTTTGATCAGGAAGGCTTCCATGGACATCAGCCCCCTCGGCATGGAAAATAGAACAACAGCACCTCCCCATGGCCAAGTCAATCACAGCCCCCAGATGCTGGAGATAAAGAAGCAGGAAGCCATGAATCTAAGAATTGTCTGCCTGTGTTATTATTTGTGACTCCACTCTGAGTCCCCTCGGGGAGATAGAGCAGAATATAAATAAAGTATGTTCTATTATTATTGACAAAAAAACGCAGTATGTCATCGCAAATGAGATATATATGCTGGATTTTGTATCACAAAATCACAAGTTGAATACTTCCCAAGTGTCTAGGACTGTGTGATGTATTTTCGAATGATGCACTCAGATCCATGTAAGCTGGCCTTTTGCAGTCAACAGATTGTGATTTTGTGAAAGTTTATTGTTTCCAAATGCCGGCTGAGATCTTTTGGCATGGCACCCAGTGTGCCGATGACCACTGGGACCACCTGTACTGGTTTATGCCAGAGTCTTTGCAGTTCTATTGTTGTTGTTGTTGTTGTTGTTGGTATTATTATTATTCATACCAAATATAAAAAATAATTTCATTAGAAAAGCTCTCCTTCCAGTTTGAGATAAGGATAAGCAGAGACATTGTCATAAGGTAACATTAGCCACTTTAGCACAGAAAATCATTTTTAAGGAAATAATGTATGGACAATTAGAGATGGTTGATTGATGATATCATTTGTATATCTGAACAGTATAGCCGGAGGTTTCAATCAAAGGAGATCAATCTAAAGGAAGGCAACATTGGTTTCCTTATGTGAAACCTATGGAGGGGTTTTCTCAAGGTAAGGGAAAGTAGTAGCCATGGAGTTGTGTAAAGACAATGACCATGAAATTAGACAAAATTTAGACATTGTTTTTGAAACTAGTGATCGAAGATGAACCAGTGTAAGAATGCTGGATGCTATGGGCATAATGTTCATATGTGGTATGGGAGAAAAGGCCATCAAAGATCAGCAATGTGGCAATTTAAATGAAAACCCAAGTAATATGATTTATACATGATGTGCAACCCCAAATAAGCTATTGAACTGTTTCCAAAGGTTTCAAAGCTTCTAAAGGATATGACAACAGAAGACTAAAACCAAAGACTAAAATGGTTTTTGATTTTGTTTTTTAAAAATATGAAATCTAGAGATGTAACAGGAATTTGTGTCTCTCATAATTATTAATTTAAGGAGGATTATTTCATAACAATTTAAAGAGAGTAATACTTTCCCTTTTTCTTGTCATTACAGCTAGGATTGTGGCTCAGGTGGCTACTGTATTTTAGCCATATACATATGTTTTTCTTTATTTTCTCTTTCTTCTTCTGTCAGTTTATTTTAAAATGTATGTTATTTTAATTGTAAATTAGATTGACAATGTTATAGTCAAGCCATTAATAAATTGTGAGAGAAGCAAAAAAAGGAAGAAATAATTCTGTTCTGTTTGGTCTTTTTTTCTTCTTCCTGTAGTTAGAATGACACTGGATGATCTTGAGTTTTATCATGTTAGTTATGAAATGAACATGGGCTTCAGACAAATACACAGCCAAAGACAAAAGGGCTTCCAAAGGCTCTAGAGCAGGGGTCCACAAACTTTTTCAACAGAGGGCCAGGTCACAGTCCCTCAAACTTTTGGAGGGCCGGATGATAATTTGAAAAAAATATATGAATGAATTCCTATGCACACTGCACATATCTTATTTGTAGTGCAAAAACACTTAAAAGCAATACTATAATTAAGATGAAAAACAATTTTAACAAATATAAACATTAGTATTTCAATGGTAAGTGTGGGCCTGCTTTTGGTTGATGAGATAAGATTGTTGTTGTTGTGTGCTTTCTAGTCATTTCAGACTTAGGCTGACCCTGAGCGAGGGCCGGGTAAATGACCTTGGAGGGCCGCATCCGGCCCCCGGGCCTTAGTTTGAGGACCCCTGCTCTAGAGCTTGGACCAGATTGGAATGATGCATTTGAAGGCTGGCATATTTTGTTCTGTCAGACTGTGGGTCTGCTCAAGTTGATGCCACCAAGTTTGTGTTTAAGGTAGTTATTTATTATGTCAGAAGAGACTTGAGAATATACTGCAAGTCGCCTTTGGTGTGAGAGAATCGGTTGTCTGCAAGGACATTGCCCAGGAGACTCCTGGATGTGTTACCATCCTGTGGTATTTATTTATTTATTTACAACATTTGTATCCTGCCCATATCAGCCCAAAGGCGACTCAGGGTGGTGTACAAGTTGGCAACAATTGGAAGCCATATATAAAAATACATACATCAATAAAAAGCAAAAGCATCACAGTACATTTAAAAACCATAAAAGCAATGAATAATAAAAATTATTTTAAAATATGTCTTCTTGTTCGAATCCTCAACTTTTCCATCATCTTAGCTGTTCCCAGTACATTTTCTTATCTGAGGTTTTCTGGTCATGCTGTGGTTCCAAACGCTTGCTCAAAAAGCCAGGTTTTCACTCTTTTTTGAAAAATCAGGAGGGAGGGGGCTGATCTAATATCCCTAGGCAGGGAGTTCCACAGCTGAGGGGCCACCACAGAGAAGGCCCTGTCTCTTGTCCCCGCCAAACATTTTTGTGAAGTAGGCGGGATCGAGAGCAGGGCCTCCTCAGAAGATTTCAAGTTCCTCTAGGGTTCATAGGGAGAGATGCGTTCGGATAGATAAGCTGGGCCGGAACCATTTAGGGCTTTATAGGCTAAAGCCAGAACTTTGAATTGTGCCTGGAAGCAGATTGGCAGCCAGTGGAGCTGACGCAACAACAGAGTTGTATGCTCCCTGAGTGCTGCTCCCGTTAGTAACGTGGCTGCTGCATACTGGATCATTTGAAGCTTCCGAGCAGTTTTCAAAGGCAACCTCATGTAGAGTGTGTTGCAGTAGTCTATACGGGATGTAACCAGAGTATGGACCACCATGGCCAAGTCAGACTTCCCAAGGTACAGGCACAGCTGGCACACAAGTTTTAACTGTGCAAATGCTCCTCTGGTCACTGCTGAAACCTGAGGTTCGATATTCAGCGATGAGTCCAAGATCACACCCAAGCTGCACACCTGCGTCTTCAGGGGGAGTGTGACCCCTTCCAACACAGGCTGTAACCCTATGCCCTGTTCGGCCTTGCGACTGACCAGGAGTGCCTTTGTCTTGTCTGGATTCAATTTCAATTTGTTTGTCCTCATCCAGACCATCACAACAGCCAAGCACTGGTTCAGGCCCTGAACAGCCTCCTTAGTAGCAGGTGGGAAGGAGTGACAGAGTTGGATGACATCTGTGTACAGATCATACTGCACTCCGAAACTCCAGATGATCTCCCCCAGTGGCTTCATGTAGATGTTAAACAGCATGGGGGACACTATAGAACCCTGTGTGACTCCACAAGACAATGGTTGTGGGGTTGAGCAGTTGTCTTCCAAGAACACCTTCTGAGAACGACCCTCTAGGAAGGACCAGAGCCACTGCAAAACAGTACCTCCAAGGCCCATTCCCACAAGGCAACCCAGAAGGATACCATATTGAAGGCTGCTGAGAGGTCCAGCAGAACCAACAGGAACACACTCCCCCTGTCTAGCTCCCAGCGTAGATCATCAACTAAGGCAACCAAGGCTGTCTCAGTACCATGTCCCAGCCTAAAACCAGACTGTGCCGGGTCCAGATAATCAGTGTCTTCCAAGAATACCTGGAGTTGTGAGGCCACCACATGTTTCAGGACTTTGCCCAAGTAGGGGAGATTGGAAACAGGCCAATAGTTGATGAATTGAGTGGGGTCCAGCGGTTATATCACAGCTTGTTTCACGCTTGCTGGAATATTGCCTTCCCGAAGGGAGGCATTAACCACTACCTTCACCCACTCGGCCAATCCCCCTCTGGCCTCCTTTGGAAGCCAGGATGGACAGGATTCCCTCAGGTCCCCACATGGGAAACTGGGGCTGACAGATGGGAACTCATCCCATCTTGTGTAATTGAACCACCGACCATCAGGTCTTCAGGACAGCAGTTACATCGGCCCAAGGGTTTAACCCATTGTGCCACCGAGGCTCAGCTTAATATGGTGGAAAGACATTGGTGCAAACACCTTCCATCTAGAAATATATGTCCTCATTGTGTAAAACAATGCAGACCCCAAATAGGTCTCCAAACTCACTTGGAAGGCAATCATACTTGGTCAGAAGTAATCACCTATAGTAGCAATATAGTAGCACTCCTCTTGTAGAGGGAGGCCAGAGGATATACCACAAGTGATGCCTCTCTACACTGACATATAAAATCTTGTTATCTGCTTAGAACTGGATTATATGGAAGTGCAGACTTATATAATCCAGTTCAAAATAGATAATGTGATTCTCTACTTTGATAATCTGGATAATACGGAAGTGTAGCAGGGGCCTGAATCCTATACTGTGAAGAAGCAAACATCCTCTCTTCCTCCAGAAGCATTGCAAGAGGAAGCGGGAATCTCTCTATTTCCCACAGTTTCCTGCTGCATTTTTCTTATTCTGAGAAAAAATATTGAGAGACTAAA